AACAAAACTCCCCTGTTAGCTGCTTCTGTTCACTAGCTCCTCTGGTTGCTCAGGAACCGGTTTTTTAAAGCCCTGTTCTCCCTGAGTAGCCCCACCCCCTCGTTAAGGGGTGATGAGCGCTAAAGGGCTTGGGGGTAAAGCTGGATTGGGACGCGACACTCCAGGCGGCTGCTCCTTTCCAATTGCTCTGTAAAGATTAAACTATTTACCACCTCTCCAGGGAGCTTTGGGAGGAGAGTACATCATGCAGCGTGTGACGCTGCAGAGCTGTGAAGTGCTCAGTGAAGGAGTACTTGTGGCACCTTCGAGACCTACCAATTTATTTGAGCATGAGCTTTCCTGAGCTACAGCTCACTTCATTGGATGCATACCGTGTTTCCATCCGAGGAAGTGAGCTGTAGCTCACGAAAGCTCATGCTCAAATAAATTGGTTAGTCTCGAAGGTGCCACAAGTACTCCTTTTCTTTTTGCAAAGACAGACTAACACGGCTGTTACTCTGAAACCTGTCGAAGTGCTCAGTATTACTCTCCTGTGAAAAGCTGGTTTGTGGGTTTGATGTACCCCGGGCAGGCGCTCAGTGAGAGAGCTTCTCCTCCCTTCCAGCGATTTGCTTTTCTACAAAAAGAAAAGGAGTACTAGTGGCACCTTAGAGACTAACCAATTTATTTGAGCATAAGCTTTCGTGAGCTACAGCTTACTTTACAGGAATGCATCCGACGAAGTGAGCTGTAGCTCACGGAAGCTCATGCTCAAATAAATTGGTTAGTCTCTAAGGTGCCACAAGTACTCCTTTTCTTTTTGCGAATACAGACTAACACGGCTGTTACTCTGAAATTTGTTTTTCTACCACGCTTTGAAATCACAGCCAGCAGGTGGCGCCAGAGCTCCACAGCCACGAGTAGAGGCAGCAGCGGCCAAAAGCGAAGCGAGCTCTGGAGACTGAGCAGAGCCGGCTGTCGGGACCCCCCCGCTGCAGTCTAAGGGGCTTGTCTACATGGGGGAATTGACTGGCCGCCTGTAAACAGAGAAACCTCTGCGCTGTAGCTCTTCCAGTGTAACCCCCCATGGAGGGAGCCACGTCCGGGGGGTGGGGGCTCCCCGGGTTCTGGCTGGGTCTTTGGGAGGAACCAGACACGCTCCCTGGCGGTGGGCAGAGGCCGAGTTGGAGCGAGTTTCTGCTGGGGGTGGTCCACCGGAGCCAGGGATCCTTCAGGTAATTTCTGTGCGGGGGAGAGACCCGCGGGTGGCCCGGCGGGGCCCTAAGGGGAGGGCAATGGAGAGGAGATTCCCAAGGAGGAAGGGGGAGTGAGTTCCTTTCCCTCCTCCGCTCTGTCACTGCGAACAAAGGACCGACGATCGCACCGCAGTTAGCTCCCGCCAAGCTCGCACGCACAAGACCAGGGCGTGTTCCCGCTCAATCACCGCCCCAAGTACACATCCCCTCACCACCAGTAGAGCGCATGCGCACTCAGATCCCCGCGCATTCCCTCATCTGCTGCGCTTGCAGGTTGCCGCTCAACCCGCCACCTCTTTGCGCATGTGCCTTCAGGCTGAAGTTCATCCCGCCACTTCTTCAGGCTCTCGCACAGTGCACCGCCTCCCTGCGCATGCGTACTCAGGTTGCCGCTCATTCGCCAACTCCCTCGTTGCACATGAGCGTTTGGCTTCCTTCGCTTTCAATGAGAAAGGGAGATTTCCCAGCATGCCCCTGGCTCTTGGGTATTTAAGTCCCGGCTGGGGGGAAGCTCGGCCATTTGCTCAGCTGCTGTTTGCTCGGGGTATGGGGTGAGTGGGGACGTGCCCTCTGTGGCCATGCGGCTCCGTTTCGGAAGCCCCTGCCCGGGGGCGGGCGGCTGCTGCTGCCCGCGGTTCCTCGGGGATTTGGGGAGGGGGTGACTCGGGCACCGGGCAGGGAGCTGCGTCGGGCAGGGTGGGAGGCGCGGGCAGGCTCCGCCGCCATGTTGCGAGCTATGGGGGGTGTGGAGCTGGGGGCCGGGTGCTGCGGTGAGGGAGCGCTGCGGAGGCTGGGGGCCCCACAGGCGACACGTAGCTTCGTGGTAGGGATTCGTGACCCGCCCCACATGTCGCCTCTGCGGCCCCCCCGAACCCTTTGCCTGCGGCCCTGCTCGCTGCCTCCTCCCCGCTGATTTCTCCTACAGCAACCCCGCGGAGCTCTCCCGGCGGGTCCGCCCGGTAGCCCAGGGAAACCCTCCCGCGCCGGCTGCTGCTCAGGAGGGCTGGAGCCCTGCAGTGACAAACCCGTCTGGAGCGCCGGCCGGGCTGGGAGTCTCCCCGCCCCCGGAGGAACGCTGTATTGGGCGGGGGCGACTTCACAGCTAGCGCCCTGGACAGTGGCTACGCGCCTCCGCCGCCTGTCCCCCGCCTACTGCTAGAGGCACCAGCCACGTGCGGCACCGCTCCTCCTCCAAGGGGTGCTCTCCCCCAGCTGAGCCACCTCTGGCCAGGGCCCCCTGGCAGTCAGATTGCTGGGACACAAGGCTTAGCCTCATCCTGCCCTTGCCCAGGAGTAGGCAGCCTGAAGGTCTTAGCCAGTGCTGTGGGCAGGAAGGGTGAGGAGTAGTTTCATGCCCGGGGGAGGAGGGGGCGAGGCCTGTTCTTTCTATGATGAGACCTATCACAGACCTGTGCTGACAGCCTTGTGAGGACCCCAAATAAATCTGAGGAGAACAGACTTGCTCCCACCTCTGTGGCCAGGGGTTTGAAGGGCAGCCATGCCATGATGCTGGGGACCATGGGGGAGCTTGCCCATCTTGGGGTGTAGTTTAGAGCCCTGCCCACTTTGCCATGGGGAACATGTGTCCATTCCACGTTCCTAATGCTGTTTCTCTGTTTGCAGGGTTTAAACCTCTGGTGTGCTTGCTAGGTAAGTTACAAATGCCATCATGTATGCTGGAGCTTGTGTAGCTCTGGCTAGAGCTGCACCTCCCCTCCCATTCTCACTCCTTCCCAGGACTCAGCCCACCTCCCAGAGGCAGGTGTTCCTGGTATTTGGGACTCTTAAGGTGGCCCTGGGGTCCATGGTTAAATTTATAAGGCCATAGTGTCATACTGTCTGTGGTGTCTAAATGGCTGAAGTTCCCAGATGCTTGCCTGCTATAGCAGACTAACCAAGTAGTGGGGCATGCTACTGGGGAGGGAGGGGGTGTGGGGGGGTTTGACATGTTGCTGTTAATGCAGCATGTCATTGCTTTTAATTGGGTCCCTGGTCTTGGGAGTGGGGTGGTGCATGAAGTGAAAGTGCTGCAAAGATGATAAATGCTGAACTCTCTCTTTCTGAGGCTTCAGTGGAGAAAATCTTTACCAGATTCTGAGTGGCACTGCCCTTAGCTCAGGTAGGTGTGGATCACATTTAGGCCCCTGTGGCCTGGTGCTTCAGCCCTGCTGGGAGGGGCAGGCCCTTGTGGAACAGCACCAGAAGAGAGCATATGCCCACATTGCCCTTAACATGGGGAGTGGGTAGGCCAGGTTGTATGACTCTGCTCCTACAAGAGCAACATTGCATGACTGCATGTTAAGGTTCATGTCTCTCTTCTCTAAGGCATGGGTCTTACCAGTCATGTGCATCTGCAGCCTCTCAACGGGTGAGTAGTTGAGCTTTCTCAATCTCTGATGAAAAGATACATAGAACATGGGGTGGTCTACACAGGGGAAACCAGCTCCATTACACCATGTCTAGGGTGCAGCTGTCTTCCCTAATGTTGCTGGGGTGGGAGCAGGGATACGCACTGTTGCCTTGGGGCTTAAGTGGAGCCTCATCCACTGACCCACTTGTCTGCTAGGTGGGTCTCCTGTCTGAAACAGCCTTAACTCTCCAAGTATGCATCCCTCTTAGACCAGCAGAAGCTGTGTGCCCTGCTCGGATCAATGGCTGGGCAGGATGGAGGGGGATGGTCAGTGCTGGCTTAGGATCTGTATGTATTGGAGTGATCCAAACTTCCGCTCCCTCCTGCTCACTGCAACAGTGCTGTCTCCAATGTCTTGGGTTTTTAGTAAATGATCGTGTGAGCTAGAGCAGCATCTAGTTTTTTTTCCCCTCTAAGGATGGGGATTTGTGGTTCCATGAATGGCTCTGACCTGTGTGCCTGGCAGCTCAATCCTCTATCCAGCTTGAGGACTGCTGCAGTGGTTAATCAGTGCAGGCTGCAATGTGGGAGTATTTCCCATGGACCCAGTCAGGCTTCTGCTCCCTTGCTGTTCAGTGATGAATACAAACAGACAAGCATATGGCTGAGTGTCTGTGATGCCAGCTTACTTCTGAGAACTTGGAGATCATCCCTGGGGAGGGATTTTTTGGTCTAGTAATAGGGTTAATCTGCCCCTTCTGTTTCAGGTTACCCCTACCCCTAGATGGAGTCCAGCCTCATATACAGGTAGGATTGGGATTTATTGATCTCTGTGGGGCTGGAAGGCCTACCCTGCTAAGGCTGTGTGTGTGTGTGCTGAGCACTCCCATCTGGGTATATCAGTGCCCAGCTCCCTTGCCAGGTGATCTGAACTAGTTCCTCTGAAAAGTTTTGAAGAACATTGGTCAATAAGCATGTTAGAGTTCTGATGGCAGCTGGCCCTTGGGTGGAAGATGCTGCACATTCAGACACCTGTCTCACAGGGCTCTCTGCTTTCCCTCTAGGTGAACTCATCCTGGGGGTGAATGCCTGTCTCAGGTAAATGCATCTCCTACACAGTGTCCCTAGCATAGTAGGGCCTGGCCAGTTCCCCTTCTGTAGCTCTGGGATGGGCCATTACTTTGACAGTTGACAAGTGGCAGTTTGAAAGGATGACACCACGTTAGCTGGACGACACTTGTCTCATGGCATTTAGTTACCAAAGCCCTGATCAAACTGCTCTGGCCCTGCTCCAATGAGCTGTGCTCTGTTCCTGTGCTCACTGACCCAATTCTTCTCTTCTCTGTACAGGTGAGATGCCTTGATCTGGAAAGGGTGAGTGACCTACACAGTCCTAGCTTCCCCTCTGCCCACTGTCCCAATGAGGAAATTTGTGCCATCTTACTGTCTGTCTTGGTACCAGAACCTGCAAAGGTGAACCCACTGGTACCTGCAGCATGAGAGGAGGAGAACATGCTCCAAGAGGAACAGTCTGATGGGACATTGGGCTGGGTCTGGCATTGATTCCTGGGTGTAATGGCTGATTAACCTGTGCTGTAACACTGTGCTCTGCACACCGCCATCTCAGGCAGGAGCAGCACCCTGTAAAACAACAAGGGGAGAGGGATGTAGCCAGAGCATCTTGTATATGAGCAGTGTGGTGATGAATACCACTGAGCAGAGAGAAAATACTACTCAGATGCTCTGGTTCTTTTCAGGTGCCTGGAGTGAGTCTTAGCCAGCTTCTGATCCAGCTACCCAGGTAAGGATACACATCAGATAATCAGCTGATGATGGGTGGGGCTCAGTCCTAGCTGCCTGTTCCCACTGACATGATGAATTCACTTTGGAATCTCGTTCGGCTGAACACTGCTGTTGAGACTTTGACCCTGAGGCTTTGTGACGAACAGGCTGCAGGCTTTGCCTTATCAGGGATACAAAGTTAGAATTCAGGGCCTCAGGATTCAGATCAAATAACCTCTCCTCCCCTAGATTAAAGATGCAGGAGTAGATGGTTCTACTGCACTGAGTGATGGGTAAGTGCCCTTCACCTCTCTCCAGGGCTCTTTGCAAATGTCCCTTGCATAGAAGCATGTGTAAGAGACCAGATGCTGCAAATGCCACTGGGATCAACGTTTCCTCCCTGAACAACTGGGACAAGGGGCGCGGGGGGAGTATAGCTTCATGGTGGTGTCAGGGTGCCAGCTCTGGGTGTGAGAAACTGTTGTGGTAGTGCCAAGGGGGCCTAGTCAGCACCCCATTGTGGCAGGCATGGCACAGTGCTGTCTTGTGGGGTAAGAGGCGCTCACTGCAGTTTTAATGATGAGCCAAACTAGCTCACTTTGATTTAATATAAACATGAAAATATTTGAACAACTGAGAAACTGCACAGAGCTGGGGTGAGTTTGGGGCATCTGTGCTGGGGAGTAGCTGACTCTGTTGTCCTGTTCCAACAGGTAGCCAGAGGCCTGGGGTCAGAAGTGCCTGGAATGTTGAGTGAGTGATGGGCCTGTGGGTGTAAAGGAGGGATGGGCAAGGGGGAGCTAAGCAGAGACCACACCTGCCCCTGGCTGTAAACTGAATGGCAAGCTCTGCCCTGTGGCAGGGGTCCTGTCCCATTCTCCAGCTCCTCAGTGATAAGACCCCTACTGCCCCAGTCTGATCCCCGTGACTGAGTGGTTCCCTCTGAGGCCAGGAGCCTGGCAGCAGTGTTGGTTGAGAACATGGTTGCTTGCTCCTTGCCCAGTCCTCCAACAGCTATTTTTTCTGTTTCAGGAGCCTTTGAATTCCTGCCAGGGGATGGGCAGTCAACTGGTGGAGCTGCAGGTAAGCTGAGAAGCACCAGCTGGAAAGGGACTGGTAGAGAGGAGCTCTGCTCCCTCCATAGCAATACAGGTGGGGGTGGCCTGGGTTGTGGGTGAGAGGTGGGGTAGGTGCCATGTCCTGATGAGGAAAGCAGGTCATGTCTTACTGTCCATGCTGGTCCAGAACCTGCCAAGGTTGAACCCACTGGGCCGGTGGAGAGAGAGGAGGAGACTCTGTTTCAAAAGGAACTGTCTGATGGGACTTTGGCAGCATTGGGATGATGAGTGGGGTACGCCGTGGGAAGTGGCTCTCCTGCAGTTCTCTGCTTGTTTCTCATAGGGCTGCCTGGAAGCACACTCATCTGAGCACAGCGGGTGAGTGTAATTGCCACTGACTCTGTACTTGCCCCCTGTGTGCTGACCCTCTCCCATCTCCAGGGATGAGCTGTCATTCTCCTTGTGGTGCCTTCTGCTGGAATAAACTAGTTCCACCTCCATGATGATCCTTCCCTCAGGCAAGAGGTTGAGCATATGATGAGCACTTACCGCCCCAGTCTGATGCTGGTGACTGACTGGTACTTTCTGAAGCTTGACCCTGGGGGTCCCTGTCTGCCCCTGGCTGGGAGCACTGCTCTCATCAGTCTCCTTCTCTCCTGCAGGTTGAAGTGTGCAGACCAGATGCAGCTTTGCCATCACCCCTCCCTCCAGGAGGAAGAGCTCTCCCTGCTGAGCTGTGACAAACCCAGCAGCAGCTTGGTGTTGGCCGGGGCAGTCAGCCCCTTAGTGTGTGGTTCTCTGTGTAGTGACTGTTAAATAAAACATCTCTGCACAGACCAGCTGGAGCCTTGGTATCATGATGGGCCTCAGTGTGTGTTGCAAGGCCTCCCAGGGGTGTGGGAAGGCCTGGTGTCATGCTGGGGAGCAGGGACAGTTACTAGGTGGAATTGGGGCCCTGCTCACCTATACCTGCAGTGGGGGGTCACAGCTCCCTGGACAAAGCTTAGAGGGGGGTCTCTCCATGCCAGCTGGTCCATGGGGCTCCTTCCTGTCTCCACAAGGGGCAGAGTTGCTGGTTTCTGCCTAGGTGGCCCTGTATGCCATGGACAGCTGAGGCAGGACACTAAATGCACCCACTCAGCCCTTGCATAGCCTGAAGTTATAGAGCTTACAATAGCAGGGTTGCAGGCACCTCCCTGCCCCTGTTTCTGGTAGTGTGCTGAGCAGGAGCAATGCCTAGTACCTGGCTGCTGTGTGACAGGGCTGGAATGGGGATCTTCACTGTGATACCTTAGGAGTGTCATGCTGAAGGGACTCCTGGCATGTCTTCAGTCCCCCATTAGTCACTCTTCCCTCCCCCAAAGCCCTAGAACTGACCTGTGTGCTGGCACAGGCAGGTGAGTTTAAGACACTCCTCTTGGCTCACTCAGCTTTAATTGAGTGGGTGAGCTGGTGGAACTGGGCCACAGGTCTGTCCTAGATCACCTGTGTCTGTTTGCTCAGGGTGCTCCACTTCCTGTCAAGGCTTCTTGGATATCCCTATGGTGCAGAGCTATATCTCCCTTCTCCAGGGTATTAACCCTCATGCCCCGGAGTGGGAGCATAATACAACCTACCTTACAAGCACAAAGGGGTGGAGTCCTGCTTGGGTACAGCTGAGAGCAGAACCCTAGTTCACAGCACTAACTGCCCATCCACTTCTTGGACTTGTTATGTGAGGGGCTGTAGTAGGATGGCACAGTAGCTGAGCTGGTTCTAAGCAGCTGCACAGATCCAACCACATGGAGGTGCCATCTAATATGGATTGGGTACTTCTGCAATGGCAGGCTTGCAACTCTCTGCAGCGTAGCTGTATGAGCCAGAGCTGAGCAAGGCCCTGACCCTCATACAGCAGCTCCTAGTTCTGCCTCTGATGCTGAGTGAAGGATGTGGTGTAGCGGTGTTTGTCTCAGGATATTAGACAAGGTGGGTGAGGTAATTGTGATTGGTTTGGTCAGAGATCCCCTTCGGACTGTCACATGGTGTGCTGAAATTACCTGAGCACTTTTTCCCTGCCAGCTTGGGACTCTAGAACCCTGCCTTGTTAAGCCAGACATGCTAGCCTGCTGCAACACAGACCCAGGTCTGGTCCATGCCCCCACAACTGCAGACTTTAACTAAAAGCTGCTCAGCAGGTTACTGATCTCCAGCACCCAGACACCCACCAGTTCCCAGTGGGATCCAAACCCCAAATAACTTTTACTTTGTATAAAGTTTATATGGGGTAAACTCATAAATTGCCCTCTATAATGCTGATAGATATGCATAGCTGTTTGCTTCTCCAGGTATTAATCACTTACTGTGTTTTCATTAATAAACAAGTGATTTTATTAAATATAACAAGTAGGATTAAATGGTTTCAAGTAATAGAACAAAGTAAGTCATCAAGCAAAATAAAGCAAAACCATGCAAGTCTAAGCTGAATACATTAAGAAACTGTTTACAGGTAATATCTCGCACTCTGATGTTCCAATAAGCTTCTTTCACAGACTAGACTCCTTCCTAGTCTGGGCCCAATCCTTTCCCTGGTACAGTACTTGTTCGTTCTAGCAGACATCTCTGGTGGTAAGCAGGGGTTTTCTCATGACTGGCAGCCCCTTTGTCCTGCTCCACCCCCTTTTATAGCTTTAGCCCAAGGTGGGAATCTTTTGTCTCTCTGGGTCCCCACCCCTCCTTCTAAATTTAAAAGTACTGAGTGAGTTTGGGGGGGCGGAGGGTGAGAGAACCTGGATTTATGCTGGAAATGGCCCAACTTGATTATCATACACATTGTAAGGAGAGTGGGGTGGGAGGAGGTATTGTTTCATGGTCTCTGTATATAATGTCTTCTGCGGTTTCCACTGTATGCATCCGTTGAAGTGAGCTGTAGCTCACGAAAGCTTATGCTCAAATAAATTGGTTAGTCTCTAAGGTGCCACAAGTACTCCTTTTCTTTTTGTGAATACAGACGCACACAACTGCTAATCTGAAACCTATCAGTAATACAAGTTTATCTTATTCTAACTTCGGACAGAGAAATAATACATGCAAACGAATAGGATGAACACACAGTAGATTAGAAGAATTGTAATACCTTACAAGAGACTTTCTGCATAAAGCATATCCTGTTACATTATATTCATAAGCATATTTTCATAAAGCATAGGGAGTGCAACATCATAGTAATATCTTACTGGACAATTTCTCTGTTTAAGAGAAGCTATTAAGCCCAACTTCAGGGTCAGGGAGACTTTCCTCCCTTGTATTTAGTCTGGGCCCAGCCTGCTCCAGGACCACGGAGGAGTCCATGCCTATGATGGGTGGGGTCCTCTGCCTGAACCCTGGCTGGGAAGCTGTGAGATCTGTGTTCCAAGAGCTGCCTGGGGCAGGTGTGAGGCCTTGCCTAGGCTGTGTCATGCTACGGCTGAAGCATGGCTTCTACAGCACCATCAGCTTGTAGAGAAGAAAGAGCTGTCTGTGGGATGGGGCCAAGCTCCTCCTGCTGGGCTGACTCCTTTGGGTGCCTGACATGCTTAGAGCTAGGATGGGCCCCCCCTCATGCTGAAGAAATTCTGTCTTGCACATGCTATAGAGCATTAGGGGTCTCTCCCTGCCCCCTCAAGCTACAGAGATGCTGGCTTGGCACCTGAACTGTGTGGGATGCCTTTAGCCAAAGCTGCCTGGGTATAGCAATCTCCCCTGTGGGCAGAGCTGTGAATCACCAGCTCTCTTCCTCCCAACTCAGACTTTGCTGGGGAGCCCCTACAGCTGGCCATCTGGCTGACGTGTTCCTGGGTGCAGTAGATGCTGTGAGCAGGGAGGGTTAACCTGTCTGATCCTGTCACAACAGCTGCCTGCCTGGCCTTGGGGAGCCCAGGATTAGCTGAGGCAAACTCCCACCTCAGCCAACCCTGCTGCTAAAAGGGGCCTTGGCAGCGAGCCCTTGGACTCTCATCTGTCAGGGCAGAACTAAGTAGCTGAGACCTGCTCACCAGGGTGGCAGCCGCTCTGTGGGAGGGGAGCTAGCTATGCCAGCATACTCTCTCCTGCAGCAGCGGGCACTGTGTCTGCCTGAGCAGGCCCCTATGAGCTCATTACACACACACACACCCCACTCCCCAGAGGCACCTGCAGGGCTGCATGGGCAGTGGGGACCTGGAGCTGCTAAGCCAACACACCTGCCTTTGCTTTGATGTCACCAGGCCATTCCAGGAGGCGGAGGGTGTGGGTGAGCTCTGTGTCTGGGCCATGTGCCCTGGGGGGTGCTGCCTGCCCAGCCCTGCTCCCCTGGCACTGCTCTGCCCACCTTTCCTGGCCACACTGTGGTGCAGCCTGCCCCACCCTGACAGCTAGCAGCAAGAACACAGCTTATGCACAGGCTCTGGGAAGCAGGAACCTGAAAGGCCACTGGTCTTGCTCTGGCTTTGCTGAGACCCCCATGCTGTGCTGGGTCTGATGGGAGGAACTTGACCCTGCAGAGGAGGGGCCTGGACAGACTGTGACCCCATAAGGGATGGTATTTGTGCTGCTCACAGAAATTCAGAGACCCCCGGGCATGCAGTTTTTCCATCCTGGGTTGGTGTAGAGCTGAGATGGCCCCTGATTGATGCTACCATATCTGCTGACCTCCTTGACAATCCCTACCCTCTCTCTGTGTATCAGCAGTAGCTGGTGCAGGGAGGGACCATGGCCCACTGGTTAGCTTGCTAGCCTGGGACTTGACAGACCTGGGTTTGATTTTCTGTTCCTCCGCAGATTCCATGTGTGAGCTTGGGCAAGTCACTTAGTCTTTCTATGTGCCTCAGTTCCTCATTAGTTCAATGGGGATAATAGCATGACCCTTCATCCTAAGGGGGCTATGAGGATAAATATATTAAAGCTGGTGAAGTGCCCAGATACTATGGTGATGGGGGCCAGGGATAGATGGATAAATCCACCCCTTGGAGTGGCTCCAGCTGTCTTTCTGTTCCTTCCATTCCTTGTCATCAGGTCTCTCTTCCATCCTTGCTGTGGATGAGGTCTGGATTGTGTGAATGCCTAGGCTCTGCCAGCCCCTGAGTATCTGAGCACCTTCCACATTAGCTACAGCAAAATCCCTAGTGGATTTAACAGTCTGAAAAAAGAAAAGGAGTACTTGTGGCACCTTAGAGACTAACCAATATATTTGAGCATGAGCTTTCGTGAGCTACAGCTCACTTGATGAAGTGAGCTGTAGCTCACGAAAGCTCATGCTCAAATAAATTGGTTAGTCTCTAAGGTGCCACAAGTACTCCTTTTCTTTTTGCGAATACAGACTAACACGGCTGTTACTCTGAAACTTAACAGTCTGAGGCATCCTTTCCCATACCAAAATACAGACAAAGCCAGAAATTCCCACCCATGTCAGTAGAGATGAGGAAGTTGCAAGAATGGCAAAGAGGGATTACTCTGTGAGATAAGATATATGCGAAGAGGGTGGAGCTCTTTGACCTGAAGGGGCCATTACTGCCTGTGGGGACATTCAGTAATGAAGATACATGGAGGTCAGACTCCAGCCACAGCTGGACTGACTCTTCTCCCTTCCGTTTTTGTCTTATTCTGTCAGTTGTGAAGTTCTATTATTATTATTGTTGTTGTTCAGCAACTCCAGTGTAAATAAAGTTTTTTATGGGTGTGTGTCAAATGCTCATTTAACTGACATTTAATAAACCAGGTTTGAATCTCCTGGTCTAATATTTATTTAGAGTTAAATATAAAAAAAACGAGGCACCAACACAATGTGCTGGGTCTCCTCCCATATCAGTTACAAGCGTGTGTATAATAATAGTGCCTAGAGACTCCAACTGACATCTGGGTCCCCTCTTGCTTGGTGCTGCATAAATCCTAACCAAGATCTGGGCACTGCACAGACCCTGATTGAGATTGGGTCCTCTGGCAGACACAGCAAGAGACAGTCCCTGCCCCAAAGTGGTCAGAATCTAAACAGCCAACAAAGGGCACTCTCTGCTCCCTGACTCCACATTCTCGGCTGCACCCTTGAGTGCAGCTGCTGCTTGGGGCATGACACTACGACTTGCTGCTCCATGTTGCTGAGCATCTTGCAGGACTACTACTCTGAGCTGTGCCATCATGTGTGGACGGGGATTCCCCCAGCCCAAATCTTGCCTCACCCTGAATTACATCAGCTGCTATGGCTCCCTTACTGCTATGATCCCCCCGCCGCTGTGGGAGGCGGGCAGAGAGTGGAGACTCTCCCCACTGTGGGGAGGGGCAAAAAGGTTGCACAGCATCTCCGCAAGCAACTCACAAAATCTGGGTTGGTCGGTCGGGGGAAGGGTGCACAATGAACAGGCAGCAGCGGGGAACGTTGCGAGTAGCACTAGGTGTAGGCAGGAAAGGGTTCGGTGAGACACCACAGACCGGAAGTGGCTTCAGCCGGACCTCTCACGCATCGCGCAGTCTAACAAGCATCCGTCTTGCGGCGTAACACCGTAAGCGGTCCGGCTCCGCACCACTTCCGTTCTCTTTCAGCACACTCCGACCCACCTGGACAGGCAGGAGGAAGCGAGCCGGAGCGGATAGAGAGCATTACCGGGGCAAGATGGCGTCTTCTGCGCGCTGGAATCACGTGTGGGTTGGATCCGAGACTGGCATCCTGAAAGGTATCGGGGAGGGGGTCGTGATGGGGAGGGCTGTGTCTTGTCCCATTTCCCCCACTGCCCCCGGCTGTGACCATTTCTCGTCTCTTTCCTAGGGGTGAACCTGCGGCGGAGACAAGCCACCAATTACGTGGCGGCCTCGGCGCTGCGTCGGGATGAGGGCGTCTGCGCCATGTGCTGGGGGGACCCCTCCGAGTCCGAGGTGAGGGGCCCGGGGCTGCAGCCGAGGGGCTCGGGGCGACGGGCTGCAGCAGGGGCGCCTCCTGACCACTCTCCTTCCCCAGATCCTCGTCGGCTGCCTGGATCGGTCGGTGAAGCTGTTCAGCACCGAGAAGGGAAAGTTCACAGAGTCGCGGCAATGTCTGGGCGGGGAGGGCTCGTTCTGCGGCCTGGCCGTGCACGACAGGTGGGTCCCGCGCCCCGAACCTGGCAGCTGCCCCCCAGCTCCCTCGTTCCTGTCTCCAGCTTTTTATCTGTGGGCCCATCTAACCCCAGGTTTCACCCATCCCCCGTCCTCTCTCGGGATCGGGCCTATCTAACTCCAGGTCGCTCATATTCTCTCCCTTCTGGGACTCAGACTCAGGGACTCCTCTATCCCCAAGTCTCCTCCTCTCCGTCCTATCAGACCCGTAGATCGATCTAACCCTGGGTCTCACGCAGCCACCCCCTGGATTAGATCATTTACCCTTTCCTGCTCCCTGCCACTTCCAGGTTAGACCCGGGAGCTCCTTGAACCTCATATCACAACATGCATGCACACGCCTACCTTTGGATCAGACCAATGGCCCCATCTAGCCTGCTGTCCTGTCTCTTAAAGCAGCTGATGTTGGATGGCTCACTATCCTGCTTCCAAAAACAAATACACCCATAGTGGGGTAGAGCGGTGAGAAGCATTTCTTTCACTCTCTTTAGGCAGGATATTCGAGTTCCCTTTGTGACACCCACTCCTTGTCTGCCTGTTCATCCATCCATCTCACCCCCTAATTCCAGTAGTGAGTGTGGCCTGTGCCTGCTGTTAGAAACTAACAATGATTTATTTCGTTCTCCTCCCTACCTGGATTTTCTCCCTCTTCACCCCCCCACCATTTGGCCGGCATGTGCAGTTCCATCATCACCTGTGTGGAGTCTGGTCTCCTCAAGGTCTGGCGGGATGCTGAAAACGTAAGACTCGTATGGGGAGAGGCCGGGGGCAGTGGATGCTGGGTTGGTGGTGGGGTATGGCTAAGTGGAGGATGCTGCATTGGGAAGGAATCTGAGCCGGATTAGGGCTAACACTGTTTTCTCCCAGGCTGGTCCCAGGGAGCTGAGCTATGTGGGGACAATTCCTGTTTGCTCTGTGGGGAGGGGTAAGTGCAGTGGATCTCAGTCCTGCCAGGACTCCCGCACAGTGGGGTATCATAACTCTCTCTTTTCTGCTGCCCCATTTAGGTGGAAACCCAGGTGGGGGCTGGTGTGTGCTGTATGCGCCAGAACCCGGCCCAGCCGCAGTGTGTGGGGACAGGTGGGAAGGAGAACGCTCTGAAGGTCTGGGACTTGCACCAGCCTGAGGAACCCATCTTCCGTGCCAAAAATGTGAGTGCTTGCCCTAGACATGTTCCCTACCAGCCCATGGTCTAGGGAGCCCTTGCCCTACTCCCACCTGGCCATACCCTCTATCAGCATCTGCCCTGGCTGCCTTGGGGGGAGGGAAGCCCTTGGCCTGGCCCTAAGTCTGTCTCCTACCCCGTTGGGGGAGAGTCTGTCCTAACCTCACTCCTTGTTCCTTGATCCTGAGCCCCACTATACACATTCTTCCTCCCTCCGTCTCTCCCCCAAATCCCTGGCAAGATCTACGTTTCATCTCCTGTTGCTACCCGGAGCCCAGCGCCCTCTCGGGCCATGTGGGAGCAAACCGAGCCCAGGCCTTGTGGTTCCACTTACCCCGCCTTGCCCCTCTCGGCAGGTGCGGAATGACTGGCTCAATCTCCGGGTGCCTGTCTGGGAGCGTGACCTGCAGTTTCTACCTGGCTCTGAGAAGATTGTCACTTGCACTGGGCACCACCAGGTAGGATCCTGAGGGGTGGATTGGGATGCACTGCAGGGTCTGCAGTCGGTAGGGGGGATTAGGGTCTGGAGGAGGATGTAGGTAGGAGGATTGGATTCTGGAGGAGGTCGGGGGAGGGAGCTGGGTTGAGGTGGGAAATGGATCACGGTCTGGGGAGCCCGCAGAGGGGGAGGGATGAGCAGACTGGGGTCTGAGAGGCTGGGAGTTGAGGGAGGGGGACCTGGGGAGGGGGAGATGGGAAAGGGGATCAGTCTGAGGTGCAAATGGATAGGGGATTGTGGAGCAGGGGGAATGGAGGGGAAATAGTTGGTGTGATAGGGATGTAGGATTGGGGTCTGAAGGGGTTGGGGAAGGGAATATCAGGGTCTGAGGTGCAGGGGGATTGCGGAGCTGGGGAAATGGAGGGAAGGGTTGAGCAATAGAGGTGTTAGATTGGGGTTTGGAAGGGTTGGGCAGATGGGGAAGAGGAGCAGGGTCTGAGGTTCATTGGATGCAGGGCCGGAGGAGCCTGGGGGAGGGAAGGGGAATTGGTTTGAAGTGCAGAGGATGGAGGGGTGGAGGAGCTGGGGGGAGGGGCATTCAGGTGTTTGGAGGGTTCGTATCCTGACAGCTGACCTGTGATGTCCCCAGCTCACCTGCTTGGGGCAGAGTGGTTGCCTGCCAGGGAGGGGGTGTGCAGGGCCACTTAGATGCCCTCTATGTCTCTCGCAGGTGCGGCTGTACGACCCCAGCTCCCCACAGCGGCGCCCTGTGCTGGAGGCGACCTATGGGGAGTACCCCCTCACAGCCCTCTCCCTCACCCCTGCTGCTGAGTGAGTCACTCTCCCTGCTGAGGGGGAGGAGGAACTGAACACAGTTCGGGGAGGATAGGGCAGGGCAGTGGCTCTGTGGCCTGGGGTGAGGCACCAACAACGAATGCCAAGGGCAGGCAGCTGAGAGCTATTCAGAGCTCAGCACCAGACCTCCATTTGGTTCTGTTTGGTGGGAGGCAGCACTGGCTCCTGGGTTAGAGCAGGGGGGCTGGGAGTCTGGCTCCTGGGGGTCTGTTCCCAGATCTGTGTGGAGAGAGGGGTGGAGGGGAAGGAGTTGCTGATGGCTCCTTGGTGGGTGGTGGAGTGCAGAAGTTCGGCTGGGCAGTGGGTGTCCCTGGGACCATGGGGTGGGGAGTTAGAGTGGTGGCTCCCGTCCTGCCTGTGTCTGATAACCATCTCCTTGCAGCTCTGTAGTGGTAGGCAGCTCGCATGGGGACATGGCTGTCATCGACCTGCGGCAAGGTGAGCTGGGGCGTGGCTGCAGCCCACAATGCTTTGCTGCTGCCAGCCACAGGGTATGGGGGGCTCATGTTGGGAAGGAGTATGGGGTTCTGTAGGGGCGGGGGAATGGTGTTCCTCTTGGGGTAGGGCAGAAGCCTATGGGGGTGGAGGACGGATTCATGGGGGTGGGGAGTTAGGAGGTGGAGGCTGGGTTGGGGTTGAGTCAGTGGAGAGGATGCTACTGGACCCTCTAGCTTGGATATCTGGGGGTGAGCCTGGGGGCTGGCTCAGTGATGATCCATCTCCCTCTGTGGCAGGACGGCTGGTGAAATGCCTGAAGGGCTTTGCTGGAAGCGTGCGCAGCGTCCAGTGTCACCCAACCCTCCCACTCGTGGCTTCCTGTGGCCTTGACCGCTTCCTGCGGGTACATAATATCGAGGACAAACGCCTGGTACACAAGGTGAGAGCTGCGCCCTTGCCCACCCCATGCACAGCACCCCTGCTGGTAGTGCCTCAGCTGCCATTGCTCCTGCCCCACCCCCTGCTGGGAGAGGCTGGAGCTGCAGTGATTCCCTCTTCCTTATGGACTTGTTGCTGTATCCTGATCTCTAACCCCCGTTGTTTGCAGGTGTATCTGAAGTCCCGGCTGAACTGCCTGCTGCTGACCAGCCGTGAGAGGTGGGAGGTGAGTGTGGTGGGAGCTCCATTGGTGGGGTTGCTGCACCTTTGCTGCCTCTCTCCTGGCTGCATTGTTATTGGGTTGAAGGCTGTTGGGGGCAGGGAGCTGGGGAGAGACCCCAGGGCTGGGGCCTCCTGCTCCCCTAAACCTGCTTAAGGTGGTGGGTAGGGACCCTTCCCTTGTTCTTCCATGGAGGCCCCTTCACCTAGTCAGGGGGTGCTACTTGCTTTGACTGCCTACCCCCCAGGATGAAGAGCCTGAACCTGCAGCCCCCCAAGCAGATGTGAAGGAGGAAGAAGATGAGCTGTGGGATGGCATGGAGACGGTGGCTACCAAAACAGTGCTCAAGCACAATATGGACCCCCATGTCCGGGAGACCCAGCTAGGCAAGCGGCCCAAGAAGCAGAAGAGAACGAGCGCTGGGCCTTGAGGGGGGCAAGTGGGGAGCCTGTGCCCAAGCCAGAAAGCATAATGAACTCGCTCCCCACCCTGGCCATAGGGACTACAACTTGGACAAGGGGAAGGGAAGCTTCATGTCTCTGCTCACCAGGGGCACCAGCCTCTCCCCTGTGGCTGAAAGGGATTGGGGTGGAGGAGGGGTGGAAATGTGCCAGCCCTAGCTTGGGGTTGGCAGGGCCCTAACCTCTCAGAGAATGTGCCCCAGCTGGGACAAACATACATGCACAGGCGGGTTGGGTTGGGGGCAGCCACAGCCCCCTAAGGGGCTGGAGGGCAGAGCTGTATCTATTAAGGCCCGTTCCATGGCCCAGCTGGTGATGGGTTGGGAGAGGAGCAGATACTTGGGGTGAGGGATTTGGACCTTGCCTCTGCATCCCCAAGCTGTAATGGCCATCACACAGCAGTGTAAAAAGAACCTATAACTGTGCCTTGTCCTGGAGGTGTGTGTGTCTGTGTGTGGGGGGTGAGCCCTACTCTGCCTGTGAGTCCAGTGCCTGTGTGGGGAGGACTGCCCCCAAGGTGGGTATTGGGGGAGGGGCCCCTGTACATAGATTCCCCCCCCATGGAGCTGTTCTGTGCCCATGCTATTGGCTCACCCCTCTCTGCCCTGCCCCCAGCAGTAGAGTCTCCTACATGGCCCCTCCTTGAGGAGCCTCTGCCTCCAGGGGGCCAGTCTCACCTGGGGCGGGCAGGACACGTGGGAGACGCAGCCAGGAGCCGCCGTGGAGGAGCCGGAGGCGGGGCCGTGCCCCCGGGCGTGGTGCAGCCGGGGCCGCTGGGAGGGGTCCGTGGGGGCAGGCCCGAGCCGGGCGGGGCGCTGAGTGCAGCGGGTCCCCACGCTAGGTACCGGGGCCGTGCTCCGGGCCAAGCCGTCCCCTGGAGACTGCGACGGGGAGGTGCCGCCGGGCGCTGACCTCACAAAGCGCCCGGGGAGCGCGTGGCGTCCGGAGCCGAGGGCTCCAGGCGGCGGCAGCGCACCCATGGGCTGCATGCACTCCGGCCGCCGGGCCCGCGCCGAGGGGTCGGACGGAGCAGAGGGGCCCAGCGACACTGCAGGTGAGGAGATTACTGCCTTGGGGGGGGCTACACGTGGGGGCATCATGAGGGGCGGGGGGGGGGGGAATCCCTGCAGGCGCGGGTAACCTCTGGACGAGGAAAGGAGGGGTCTACAAGTGGGCTTCTAGGGGGAGGCTGTGCAGGGGGTGGGGCTACACGTGTAGGGGATCTTCAGGGGTTTCCTGCATTGGGGAGAGGGGGATCATGGGGCATCCGCAAGGAAGGGGGGTGTACACATGGTTTATGCATCCGATGAAGTGAGCTGTAGCTCACGAAAGCTCATGCTCAAATAAATTGGTTAGTCTCTAAGATGCCACCAGTACTCCTTTTCTTTTTGCGAATACAGACTAACACCGCTGCTACTCTGAAACATGGGGGATGGAGTCCCTACAGGGGAAGGATACTGGGTCCTTCATGCTGCTCCCTGAAATCTCTGTCAGTCTGTCCATCTGAGGGGCTCCTTTGGCCCCTGCTCCCTCCAGGTCACGCTCCTACCCCTGGGTCTGCTGGGGTCGCAGTCCACATTGCACTCTGTGTCTTTGGGTTTATTCGCTGGGGAAATTCCCATCCCTACTGTACCCAGAGCAGAGGGGAATCCAGGCATTCTGATGCCTAGCTATCCCACCGCTGTGACCAGCTAGACCCCACTGTTCTCCTAGAGCCAGGAGTAGAACCCAGGAGCTCTGGATCCCCAGCTTCCCACTGGACACTACTTCATGATGGCTCTTCATTTGCCTTATCTTAGAGCTTGTAAAGGTATAGAATAAATATAAAATTAGAGAATTAAAGTTAGCTTTAGTTTGACTGAAGAAATGTGTTGTAAAGAAAGGCTTTGAAGGTAATGAGCTATAGGGCCAGAAGACATGAAGTAGGGAGGATGTCTGGTTCAAAGAATAACTAATGAAATAAGGCGACATTTCTGAAGAGAAGGCCTCTGACTGATAGGGGTGACTGCAGATGGTTTTAAATAAGATAAAGAGAATCTGTTTTACAATAAGCCAACATGTCCCTTCACATTCCACACACCAGTGTTACTGAAAAACGTAGGGCCCATATGAACCCATGTTTAGCCCATTTGTAATTCTCTTAATCAGATGCTTATAAATGTTTTGTTATTGTCTGGATGTGGTAAATTGCTTATTATTTAGGCTTTGTAGGCAATTTGTTTAGAGCAATTGTATAAATATCATTTGGCCTTTGGATTTAATAAAGGAATTTATAGTTAAATCAGTATCCTGATAATAGCCTGCATAAATAATAATTCCAATGTTTTGGCACCCGTGGCAGGACAAATGACAATAATTTCAGTTGTTCTAAACTCCAGAGTGAAGGGGTTGCGACCAATGCTCTGGGGCTAACATAAGAATGGCCATACGGGGTCAGACCAATGGTCTATCTAGCCTCGTATCCTGTCGTCTGACTGTGGCCAATGCCAGATGCTTCAGAGGGAATGACTAGAAGAAGGGGGCAATTATCAAGTGTTCCATCTCCTGTTGTCTCCTCCCAGCTTCTCACAGTTAAGAGAATTAGGACACCCAGAGTGTGGGGTGGCATTCCTGACCGTTTTGGGTAATAACCATTCCTGGACCTATTCTCCAGGAATTATCTATTCATTATTTAATCCAGTTATAGTTTTGGCCTTCACAATATCCCCTGGCAATGAGTTCCACAGGTTTACTGTGTGTTGTGTGAAATTGTATTTTCTTTTGTTTGTTTTAAACCTGCTGTTTATTACTTTCATTCGGTGAGCCCCGGTTCTTGTGTTATGTGAAAGGGTAAATAACACGTCCTTATGCACTTCTCCACAGTATTCATGATTTTGTCGACCTCGATCATATCCCCTTTTAGTCATCTCTTTTCCAGGCTGAACACTCCCAGTCTTTTTAATCTCTCCTCAGATGGAAGCTGTTCCATACTCCTAATAATTTTTTGTCCTTCTCTGTACCCTTTCCAATTCTAATATCTTTTTTGAGATGCGGTGACCAGAACTGCACGCAGTATTCAAGATATGGGCATACTATGGATTTATATAGTGGCATTATGATATTTTCTGTCTTATTGTCTATCCCTTTCCTAATGGTTCCTAACATTCTGTTCACTTTTTTGACTGCTGCTGCACATTGAGCGGATGTTTTCAAAGAACTCTCCACAATGACTCCAAGATCTCTTTCTTGAGTGGTAAGAGCTAATTTAGACTCCATTGTTTGGTATGTGTAGTGGGGATTATGTTTTCCAATATGCATTACTTTGCATTTATCAACACTGAATTTCATTTGTCATTTTGTTGCCCAGACACCCAGTTTTGTGAGATCCCTTTGTAGCTCTTCGCAGTCTGCTTTCGACTTAATTATTTTGAATAATTTTGTAAAATCTACACATTGCCACCTCACTGTTCACCCCCTTTTCCATATCATTTATAAATATGTTGAACAGCACTGGTCCCAGTACAGATCTTTGGGGGACCCCACTATTTACCTCGCTCCATTCTGAAAACTGACCATTTATTCCTACCTTTGTTTCCTGTCTTTTAACCAGTTACTGATCCATGAGAAGACCTTCCTTTTATCCCATGACTGCTAAGTTTGCTTAAGAGCCTTTGGCGAGGGACCTTGTCAAAGACTTTCTGAAAGTCCAAATACGCTATATCCATTGGATCACTCTTGTGCATGTGTGTGTTTGACCTCAAAGAATTCAAATAGATTGGTGAGGCATGATGTCCCTTACAAACGCTGTGTTGACTCTTCCCCCAACAAATTGTATTCATCCACGTGTCCGATAATTCTGTAGTTTACTATAGTTTCAACCAATTTGCCTGGTATTGAGTTAGGCTTACTGGCCTGTAATTGCTATGATCGCCTCTGGAGACTTTTTTTAAACAATTGCTATCACATTAGCTATCCTCCAGTGATCTGGTACAGGAGCTGACTTAAGCGATAGGTTACATACCACAGTTATCAGAGGAACAGCCGTGTTAGTCTGTATTCGCAAAAAGAAAAGGAGTACTTGTGGCACCTTAGAGACTAACCAATTTATTTGAGCATGAGCTTTCGTGAGCTACAGCTCACTTCATCAGATGTATACTGTGGAAACTGCAGCAGACTTTATATACACACAGAGAATATGAAACAATACCTCCTCCCACCCCACTGTCCTGCTGGTAATAGCTTATCTAAAGTGATCAACAGGTGGGCCATTTCCAGCACAAATCCAGGTTTTCTCACCCTCCACCCCCCCACACAAATTCACTCTCCTGCTGGTGCTAGCCCATCCAAAGTGACAACTCTTTACATAATCAAGTCGGGCTATTTCCTGCATAGATCCAGGTTTTCTCACATCCCCCCCACCCCCATACACACACAAACTCACTCTCCTGCTGGTAATAGCTCATCTAAACTGACCACTCTCCAAGTTTAAATCCAAGTTAAACCAGAACATCGGGGGGGGGGGTAGGAAAAAACAAGAGGAAACAGGCTACCTTGCATAATGACTTAGCCACTCCCAGTCTCTATTTAAGCCTAAATTAATAGTATTCAATTTGCAAATGAATTCCAATTCAGCAGTTTCTCGCTGGAGTCTGGATTTGAAGTTTTTTTGTTTTAAGTTAGCGACCTTCATGTCTGTGATTGCGTGACCAGAGAGATTGAAGTGTTCTCCGACTGGTTTATGAATGTTATAATTCTTGACATCTGATTTGTGTCCATTTATTCTTTTACGTAGAGACTGTCCAGTTTGACCAATGTACATGGCAGAGGGGCATTGCTGGCACATGATGGCATATATCACATTGGTGGATGTGCAGGTGAACGAGCCTCTGATAGTGTGGCTGATGTTATTAGGCCCTGTGATGGTGTCCCCTGAATAGATATGTGGGCACAATTGGCAACGGGCTTTGTTGCAAGGATAAGGTTTATGGATCTTGGGTAGTAGATAGAATATCCCAGGTCGGGGTTCCAGGGGTGTGTCTGTGCGGATTTGATCTTGTGCTTTTTCAGGAAGTTTCTTGAGCAAATGCTGTAGTTGCTTTTGGTAACTCTCAGTGGGATCATAGGGTAATGGCTTGTAGAAACTCGTGTTGGAGAGCTGCCGAGCAGCCTCTTGTTCATATTCCGACCTATTCATGATGACAACAGCACCTCCTTTGTCAGCCTTTTTGATTATGATGTCAGAGTTGTTTCTGAGGCTGTGGATGGCATTGCGTTCCGCATGGCTGAGGTTATGGGGCAAGTGATGCTGCTTTTCCACAATTTCAGCCCGTGCACGTCGGCGGAAGCACTCTATGTAGAAGTCCAGTCTGCTGTTTCGACCTTCAGGAGGAGTCCATCTAGAATCCCTCTTTCTGTAGTGTTGGCAGGGAGACCTCTGTGGATTAGTATGTTGT